GAAGAACTTGAGCCTCCTCTCTTTCCGCATGCCGGACTCACTTTAAAGTATGGACATGTCACATGTCCACCAATGAAGCGAGAAGTCCTATTGATGGATCAGGCTCAGCATCGGTCAGTAAAGTCGGTTTTGGGTCTTCGGAATCTCGTTGCAGTTCGACTGCAACGTGTGGCTGTTTCCTCTCGCCTACAGACGAAATGGCTCACTTAATCCTTACGTTTAGAATATGTTCGAGAAGGAGTTACAAGAGAGTCCGTTTTACTTGTCTAAGCACAAGCGTGGATGAGCTGAAATGTACACATAAAGATTCAATACGAGTATTTATAATCATTACGAGTAATTACAATGATAAGCAGACAAAAATAATGACAGAGGGGACCTTGCGAATTATCTGAAAAAGGTTTTCCTCGGTAGCTAATGAAACCGTCATGTGGGCATCAGCTCTGGGCTGTACAAGCTTATAGGACTGTGTCTGAATCCGTTGGTCACTGTCGATATCTATGCTCAATGCATAAAACAGTTAGTTCGCCTAGCGAGTTCGGAGGTGTTTTTGAACAACGATATGACGACTTCGCCAGACTGACGGCAGCTGTTCTCTGCGATTTCTTCATAGAACCTGTTTTAGTTTGCTTGAAGTGGCCTCAAACCGATCGAGAGGAAAAATAGCCTCATGGGATCACCTCTACTCTCTACTAATGACCGTCTGACCTCTGGCGTTCATCATCATCATCATCGACAGCATGACATCAGTGCTCAACACCGATGCTTCACTGCCGCATTTGGGTGCCAGTTACTTCGTTACTTGCAGTGTTGACTCTACCCACCTAGCAATGTAGATTAATGGTGATCACATATTACCGGTATGTTATATTAACTGCGTTTTGTTATACTCGCGCTCTTTTCAGGTCATCAACAGAACTTACCATCTTCGGGTCTGCGCTCCCTCGATACACTTCCCTCTCCGACGGAGCAACTGCCTTTGCAGAATGCTAGGACAAACACACCATCTCCGTCGGATAGTAATCGGCCACAACCTGCACAGTCCATTCCGAATCATGACGAAACCACTGTCAACTTCAAGCATACTTGTGCTTTCGTCGTCGATGACATTTCTTTATCTTGCCTCTCCAGAACGGAAGCAGTGCATTCAACGCAATCCAGAAGGTGAGCATGCTTTAGTTGGTATGCGACGTTGTTCATAGCAATATAAGTTTAAAAAGCATACTTTAGGACGTGTTAACTTACCCCATGCTTTGGTGTACTCATAAATGCTGGCCATGCTAACACAGCACTAATGAACTGCGGCCAGTTCGCTCACGCCCGAGCTCACTGAGCTGTTTCGAGCTCTTTCTCGATTGCATTGACTTCTCTAGCTCTAAATCCATACTATCTTTAATGTTACAGAAAAAATTGTCGGTTGAAAAGTTGGTCACCTATATCAATGGTGATAAAAGAATCCAAACACTAAAAGATTCCGCAACCGAACCCCGTACGGACAGTGGGACTAACCGACAGAAGCTTTAGGACACATAGCGGTAGTTTGAGTATCGTGTGATGATACCTAGCTGTTGAAAATGAGCTCATTCTTCTTATGTTTGTGGGTTTTAACTAATACATCGTGCACCTCCCAGTTGCTTCAACGTTGAGCGACCTCCATTTTCCTTCAACTATGTGACGACTGGACACTGTCTAAGCCATCAGTATGTTGAAAAAAATAAAAGTAATCGTTCAGCTGTAGCATCCTTTCGGTGTCTAGCTGCCATGCCACCAGAATGAAGCACGATAGCTGGGAAACCGCCTGGTTACTCAAGCCCTATATGGGGGAAGTCGAGAGGCGGAGGTCGGGTTTGAACCGCAGACCTTGTGGTCAGTAAATTCGCGCTCTAAACACAGCCATCCCGCCCCCATCAGTAAGTTGGCCAATGTGAGGGTGTGAATCCATTCATGCTTATTCGTATAGTGGTCTTCCGCCATATTTTCCGCCCTTCAACCGGACACAGACAAGATACGTCACTGGTGACTAAATTAAGGCTTTTTCTTAGACATACGGTGACTTTGACAGCCTACATACCGCCTCTCCAGGACTTTGAGAGCAATGAACAAGTTCGCATACAACATCTGGGCTTGTTTGAGGGCTACTGTGGAGCGGTAGACGGATAATCAGACTCAGACATCTGACCTACCAGTGCTGTTCCTAGATGTCTTCCCTGATTTTGCTTGATGTTTGTCTTGCACGGTAACTGAACAATCACCACAGTTTGCATTTTGATTGCATACTAAGCGCTATCGTAGAGTACTGTCCATGTAGAGCATGGGTGCCATTTATGGACTCAGATCTATTACGGGACGGCTTATGACACTAAATTGATGCTGAAGTTGATCAGAAGACGGGTGTGTTGATGAAATTATGCTCCACTTATGGAGAATAATTTCGCTCACGTTGCGGAACATGAGTGGGACAAGCCGGTTCTCGTACACAACCTTGGATTTCGAGCGTCTCGCCCTCCCTGGTAGTGTTTGTGTAGCGGTGCTGTCTCAGGATTAGTGTCAGGAACTGTGGTATGGGAAGCGTGTTTTCCTGCAGACGGTTGTATCCAGGATGCTGAGCCTAGTGTTGTGAAGACTAATTCACTACTGCTTCACTACTGCCTCCCACACACCATTCTGTGCACGACAGTTGGGAAAGCTAATGAGAAAGTGTAATATTTGGTCCTTACGTTATGAACTCAAAGTGACGAGTCCATAGTAATTTTTGTGTGAATAAAAAAAGAACATGTGATTTTAAATGTGAAAACGGATATGCTTCACTTGATGAATGATTTGGAGAAGCGAGGTTAAGCGTACTAGCTAGCCGCTTGATCGGTCAGTCAGGTTGCCGCTGCCGATAGACCACCGATACGAATTAGCCGTTATTTCATTTTGGGTGGTCGCATTTGGGATGTAAACCGATCGCACAAGCTTTGGTACCCAGGCGCTAATTTCGAAGATAACAGTCGCTTTGGTGCACGCGAACGTTATGAAAGTCAACTCAATATCCCCACGGCAGGCTGCAATATTCAAGAATATGGTATCTCAACATTTATCCTCGTCTCTCTACTGCGGCTTCTGCTAGTTTTTTCTGTAGTGTTATGTGAATTGTGGCCCCTCACTGGAAAACAAGTTACAGTTGATTTATCCTCCCCTTTTTCTCTGCAGCCTCGAATCTTCTCCATGCCCGGCTCATTTGACGCACAAGTTTGTTGTCACCCAACAGGACGATGGGGCGAGCGAATCATCATTCCCAGGTGCGGTCTACAGACCTAAGAGTCAGCCGGCCACCATCACACCCTTTCTATCGGTCTCCACGTCAGTGAAAACCTCGGCTGCTGCATTTTCTGTATGCACGAGTAACGAGTCATCCGGACTATGGACACAGGAGTCTGTTAGTGAGCAGACTACCATACAGTTTAATCCTGTAACTTCCACCGGCCGGATTGATGAGCGACTCTTGTCTTCTGCCATTGAGGGAACTTCAGGGAAGTTGGATCATGTGCTCAGTGGTCAACCATTATCGAACAATACCACTACTAGCTCGTCATTCACAGCCATGACTGATGGCACTTTTCCCTTTCACGGCTTGCCTCATGTCGCGTCTAACCTTGATTCCAGCATTTTCTCGTCGGCCTTCCAGTCAGATCCAGTACCGCAACCCGTTTATGCACAACCATCAAAGCCTTCGGGACTCATGCATTTACATCCAACTTCAAGTGTTTCTCTACAGACGTCTGAGGGTTCCCCGGCACCATTCACGTCTTTCCCAATGGGTTTCAGTCCCGTTTCCACAGCTATGAATGTACCTCTTCCATTGGCTCCTTCAACTTCCGCAGCTCCTGCGCTTCCTCCATCTGTGTCCCTCACCCTTTCCCCAATCACCTCAAATGGCGATTTTCCGCCAGTCACGCTACAGTTACCTGGCCTTCCCACCGTAATCCTACAGGTTCTTCCGCTCCCAGGTGCTAAGATGGACGAACAGTATACTATCAAGGTATCGACGCCGCTGATACTGAGCGGTATCAGTGGCGCGTTAGCCAATGGTGGTACTGTGAATGGTGGTCCGATCATGCTCTCAATCGCGCCCGGTACTTTACCACCAACAACTACGGCCACGACATCTGAAGGAATCCCCTCCACAATACAGAACCAACTTGGTTCTGATGGAACTACCTCGCCTCTTAGTCCACCCTCGACCACAAATACTTCATGCGCGTCCACATCTGTTAGTTTCTCCCTACCCAATGTACCGATATCTCATTTACCGTCTGGCTCCAATTCCGCTACGACTCTACGGCTTGCGCTGCCAGTTGGCACTCAAGTTTCTCTTCAGTCACCACATACTCAAGCTGCTTGTAAGCGTATGCGCGCGATCGCCCCCAAACCATGTCAGAAGTTGGCCGCTGAAACCGTCGCAAACGGAACGTCCAACTCAGGTCCACGCAGTTCCTCAGTCAATGCTAACAGAAATTCAATAAAGCGACAAGTCACAGTGGTTACTTCCTGCATCTCTTCAGCACTGTCTATTCAAGCCTCTATTGGTTCCGCTGTTTTCACTTCTCCCATGGTCACATCGAATAAAGGAAAGCGAGTTCAAGTTCTTTCGGGGTCATCCTCAGCTTCAAGGCCAGGTCGAGGTCGCCGGAAAACTGCAGCTAATGCTTGCTTGACGCCACTTCCTGCTGCGAGTCCCGCTTTTCTTTCTTCGGTCCAAAACGGCACTGTCTCGATCTCTTCCAGCCTACATCTACCGCCAAACGATTCTCATTTGACTCCTCAATCAGTTACTTATCCAACAACGTTCACAACACAATCACTCTTTGTTCCCAGTTCAACGAACCCTATAATGACGGGTTCTGCCGTTCCCTCTGGACAAATGCCTTCGACATTTTTGTTCAGTGGCATGATACCGCCTGGATCCGTTCCGAGTGGAGCGTCTCCGTACATTTTCCAACAACCTATCCCGTTTGCCAACGGTTGCTCCTCGTTTCCTGGTTCGCTTTACACCCCGTCTGGCCCAACTCCGTTACCACCGTCCACTTCAGGTGCAAGTTCGGCTGTTTCTACCTTACCGCCCGTAAGCTCCACTTCACTGTTTCCATCTGGAGGTGCGGCTGCATTGGCCACCATCAACCCTGCTACTGGGATGATCACTCATTATCCGGCACCCTGCGTCCCCATGGCTGTGCCATTTTCCACCAGTGGTTCGTCTACTGATCACGCGGCTCAGTTTGGTTTGTCACTTGTCTACTCCCAACCGAACCAGAGTGCTGTTGGTTTTCTGATTCCGAACGTCTCTCAGGCAGGCTCCTTAGTGTATCCAGTTGCTGGACAGCCTTTACTATCAACTCCATTGTCAACCACCTTATCCTCTGGTTCTATCAATTTCGGTGATCATACAAGTCTGGGACCGCAGCTAGGTGGAAGTTTTGCAGCTGGCTCATTAGTGCCTGGACCCGGTTCCCTGCATTCCAGCGGAATCGGCATAACTTCAGCCCTTCCCCCTCTACTCCAAACACCCGTTCCATTCTTGTCCACATCAACTAGTAACCCCGCACCAATCCTGCCTGTTAACTCAGGAGTAGGAAATGTACCTGTGATATCATCCGTGTCTTCTACAACGGATGAAATTGCTGTTATGGAGGATGACGTCAATTGCCTAGCCAAAGATGATCTGATTAGTATCGCCTGGCGTCTGACACAGATGGATGATGACCTTGTACCCACATGCATAGTTTCCGATCAAGAAAGTCGGCCTACAAGTATGGTTGCGAATGGGTCTGAAAACATTTTCAATGTATACGATCATGAGAAGTCTTCTCAGTTCTCTTATTCTACAAGCTTTGTTGTGGATGAGGTTCCGGAATGTTCGGATATATATACCATGCAAGATACTCAGGAGAGTGCCGAAATAGTGCTTCTAGATGCCAAACCTTCACCAGCGCGTTTGCATAATCTGACGGAGAACAACAGTGTTGCAGATATATTCACCACTCCGGAGGAGAGTACTGGTAATGCCGATATCGATGCACTCTTAGCTGCTGCTGCAATGGTTGGAGCTGCCAGTGGAGTAGGCGATGCACAGTCCGCCGTTGCTGTTCCAGTTCCTACTTCTTTTACGAACGTCACCGTACACAGCTCCACGTCAAGTCCTTCAACTGGGATTGACGTAAACTCTCGGCCAAGCTCGAGTGACTCAGCCACTCCCATACCTTCAGTTTCGAGTAGCACAGTTGTGACTACGTGTACAACACAGTGCGCTTCCTCAACGAGAATGGAACCCACTGGATTATCTCCGAATGCACCAGCCGACCTTCTCTCGAGTGATCTTTTTGAATTTCACGGTCATGGTGAGGCAAATGTAAGTATTGGAAATTTCGATGAATCTGACGAACCTCCAAGCCTGGTAGCCGTTTTAGGATGCAATGCCGAAGACGCGGCCGATTTGGAATCGGTTTTAGGTCCCGGTTCGCATAGCTTGGACGAAGGCGGTCCTGTCACTGAGTCCTTTCTTAACTCGCTTGTGGGTCCAGCTCCTGATGACTTGGATTTGGGTGACACTGAAGATGCTGATGATGCCGATGACAATCTCTTCGATGCGGATTTTGATGTTTGTGCCACTGGTTCCCCAACACATGGCGTGCATAAAGTTAGTAGCGAATTCGTTGATGACGAGTGCATTCAGCCTACGCATCCACTGAACGATCTGAATTCAGATAACTTCGATTTAGACTACGACGATTTGACGAAGAATCCAATGAGTCTCGAACCGTCCGTTGATGCAGATGTTCCCATCCCAAGCTCTCATCAAGTCCGGGCTTTGCTGCGAAATACCGCTCCAGCGGTACTCCCCTACCGATTTTCCTCCTGCCGTAATCCTCTGATCTCTGTAAAAGATGCTGTATTTACCAAGCTTTTCGAGGCCCCTGTTTACAAGAAGCGCACCAGTCGCTCACACAGGTTTGAAAACGGTGTGGATGACTTCATTGGCGTTGACTTTCCAGATGCAGTTAGTCACTACACCACAGCCGAACAGTTCAATGAGGCCCTGATGCTTTTAGGTCCACAACCCAGTCCTCCAGCGACCTCTCATTCACCTGGAAAGTCGAACAGTGGTTTACTGGAATCAGCTGAGTTAGAAACTGAGGATGGAAAACCGTTTAATGCATCGTCATCTCCAACTTACCGTGAGGCGAGCAGTGGTGTCACTTCTGACAAGTGTCGTGTATCTCCAATTACCGATGTATCCAGTGAGGCGAAAGATGCGGCACTGGAGTCTGGGACTCCGATAGAGCCTACTCGGGAAGAAGTAGAGCGGCCGATCGGGTCACCATTTGTGGTACCAAGGGAAGCATTAGCTACTGTCAATGAACCCTCCTCGAAGGATTGTGAGCATTCAGTAAATTTTGATGCCTTGATATCGGAACCGCCCATCCCGAGTGAACCGGTTGAGGAAAATGCTGCATGTTTCGTTCAGAATGATGTAGAACTGAACCTAACGCAAACGCAGGATGATTCTGCTGTCCCATCCGTTGGCGTGACATCAACATGTGAACACCATGAAACTTCTCGGTTGGATAGTCAGATTGGATCCGCTCCTTCTAGTGAAGATAACACACCGAATGAGGGGTCTGGATACGACGAAGAAGCAACGTTGGCTATGGTGATAAAGCATCCGGTACCTACATGCACTATTCCAGTGAACGAGCACCCATCTGAGGTAGCGAAATTAGTGGATGAGGTGGTTGTCGGAACTGTCTGTTCAGATAGTAATGTTGTTGATCCACCTATATCATCGCACCCGGTAGCCAAAAGGTACCGGACCCGATCGTTCAGCTTGATAACAAATAAAAAGAATTCTGGATCTATTCAGCGAGGGGTTCATCGCAGGCGACTTCTTAGTGCCCCATCCGCCGGTGAGTCTCGTGTCAAATCCAATCGCACTTCGCTGCTGCAGATTTCATCCGTGACGCTTGCTAATGGAAGAATGTCATCCGTACATCTTCCCTCCAATAGCCATTCTCGGCGATCCTGTAGGACGACCTCATCAGTTGCATCGGATGATTTGAGTGGGTCGGTTGCCTGTTTACCTCTTTCCCCCTTAGATCACCATCTAACCGTCGATACCGAGGTACCAGAAGTGGTCCCCAGTCCTTCCATATTCGGAGTTCTGGCTTCTTCCTCCGTCCTTTTAGAAGCCGCGGTTGACCTAGTGGGATCTGATTCGGACATATCACCTGTGAAATCTAGTTTGGAAGGGCTGGCAACGCTAGATCGCATGCTTAAAAGTTGTCAGCGGCAAAGCCAACAACTCCAAGAATCCTCCCTTAGCAAATCTAGCTCACTTGAAAGCGCAGCGGATTCATCTACTCCAAGCGGCACAACCTTCCAAGTGCTCGCTCCGGAGCTTCCTCTCTCAACAGAACGAGAGAACAAGAATCTGTCTTGCTCTGAGACGTCAGCATCGTCGCCCAGTTGCTACTCCATGAGGCTCGTCGAACAGTCATCCGCACCAGTAGTGCGGTCGGCAACTCGGCGGACGAAAAGAAGGCGACCAAAGCCAGAAGTTCAAACTAGGGATGCTGAGAAGATGCTTTTGCGCCCGGTGGAAGAGTCGTCCGGGGCACATATTCCCAGCACACGTTCTTCGACGGATGTTGCAGATACAACACAATGTCTTTTTTGGCTCCCTTCGGCTCAGCGTCCCTTATCTTTCGGGTGAGTTGTTAGATCGTGCTATCATGATTTGCTTGTCAGGGTCATACTTTAACCTTTGCTATTGTTATGCGGAAGGGTTTCGTATACTTCATCGCCACAATTTACGTCGGATTCCGCCATCTAGAACACTGAGGATGCATGTATATCTACGAAGGCCTAGTGCACTGCAATAGTCCAGTATGTCACCAAATAACTTAAAGGAAATAAGTGGAAGAGGATAGAAAATGTTTTACTGTAGTTACAGCGCACACACCCGTAGTTTCACTTTTGTGGTGCTTCTAATGGCAAGGTGGTCGGTATCCCTTGGTACCCAACCTACTGATCGAAAAAACCACCAGAAGTAGTGCAGTTGTAGTCTGGCTGCGAATGTGAAGTACTGCCAGGTTACTCCAGTCTAGGCAAGAGCCATGGAAAAGCTGGGGTCGGGTTTGAACTGCCAATCGGTTGTTCCACATTTTTTACGCCTCATTTCACATCCGTATAGCAGGACAAAGCATATGCAAGCAACGTATGCATGTTCTTTAGAGACAGACCGATTTTTCTGTATTGCCTAAGGTGACTAGGGTTGAGAAATGCCACTTGAGCCTTGCCTACGCCTAGTCTACTGTAGTGCGGAAATCGCCTCTCACGAATGCACAGCTGTTCACAAGACCGAGTCTGGCTCCGTTGGGATTGGAAGCGGGCGATTGATCTGGCCAATCAGACAAGAATACTTGGTACTCTTCTGGAACAGAAGTACAATGCTAAGCAACGGTCAGAAGTCACGCTGTCGAGGGCACGCTGATCGCGATCACAAACCAATGGGTCATCCACGAATAATTCTCCCGGTAATGGCGCGACTTCATTTAACGAATACACATAACAATTCATGCAGTGATATCTCAGTACTCACATGAACTCGCCGAGGATATTGATACCTCAAACTAAACAAAATAAACGCATCTGAATATCATACCGGAATAAGACGCCATCCGTGAAGAAAACTGGCAGCTAAATCCACTGTACGGCAAGTAAGCGTTTGCTACAGGTGATGATCTTACAGCCCTGTAGCGGAAGGCGTGAGGTGGACAAGTATGACTTAGCAGAGCTGTGTGAAAGATTACGGAGAGTTAGATTATTGTTGGTGGGTCAGCTCTCCAAAATAGGGTCCCGGTGATCCCTTTCGGCAGGATGTATTGCAAGAAATGGAGATCAGTGGTATCAGTGCTGTCAGTTTCCCTCCAGATTATCTGACTGCGAACTTGGTGTTGTAGGCTTGTCAGAATGCTTGCGATGGGCCAGCCCAGGGTCTTTTCCATCTCTCACTCTGTTCTCTTATTTTCACTAAAGCTTTAAATACACTTGAATGTACTTTGTGGTTTGCGGCAATGAAGCACGTGTGTCAAAACTTGTGTCGCTGTCCGTGTTGCTGATATCCGGAATCTTCCAGGTGGTCGCTGCCTTTGAGGCTCTACTGGATATCTCTATACTTTCACTTTGAAGTTTCTAAGTGGGAATGACCATAGCCTGACTGACCTAGTGGATAAGGTCATTTACTATCTTCATAAAGGAAACTACTCACAAGGTTGTTGAAAACTCTTCGACAGCCCACGACCGGTTTCGCCCTTGGGGCTCATCAGTTAGGCGCAGTCCCCGAGTTTCCGTCAACCTTATGATTTACTTGAACCCAAATTGGACTGTTTTCGAGAAATACCCTCATTTTTCACGAGAGACTCAACTTAATATCTCGTTTTTATGATATTCTACTATCTTTTCGAATCCCTCGTGGCATATTCAAGCTAACTGCTGGTCTCCGTTTTTGTTATCTGTTTCAGAAATGATTACACGTTATATAAAACTTGGAAGACTGCTTATAAACTAATGAACGAATTTTGCGTGGAAGTTAGATGGGGATCCAGATTTACGGAAATGAGCCAGTCATTCAGCACCATGATGGCGTCAGACTAGTGTATCCCTGAATCTCACGGGCTGTTTTGTTGTATGGCTGTGAATCTTGGCCCATTCGAGCAGCGGAACTGAGACCTTCAGGTTTTCGACAATCGTTGTCTCAAAACTATAGCTCGTATGGGTTGGTGTCAGCGAATCCGCAATGAGGCAGTTAGAAAGTGCATTTTCGCTTGTGCAACGGGTACCTTCATTGAAGAATGTGTCCAGCACCAGAAGCTGCGTTGGTTGGGATATGTGTTGCGTATGCCGAACCATCGTTTGCCGAAGAGAGTGCTGTTTTCCATGCCCAATTCAGAGTGACTTGGCAGAGGAGTATGAAGGAGATCAGGAAACGCGTGGTTGCTGTCGGTGCTACTCGCCTTCCAGGAAGGGGGCCGCGTGATCCCCACTGTGCCTGGTTGCAGACACTACAGGATATGGCTGCCAACCGATGTCAGTGGCGTTGTTGTCAGTTTTTATCCAGATTGCCTGAATGAGTGTTTGGAGTTGTAGGCACCTCGGAGTGATTGTAGTAAGCCAGCACTAGTTCCCTGGCCCACCTTTATTCTTTTCTGTATAATAAGGCTTGTACGGCAGTGAAGCAAATAGGGTGTGGTGAGGAGAAACTGATTTAGTGTCCAGTGACCGTTTTGGAGGATAAGAGGTGAAAATGGCTACACCATTTCAGTGAGTGTGCTGCATCGAAGGTTGCGCACTGCGTCCGTTTTTACATCTGATTACTCTAGTGGCTGGGCACCGTGTGCACGAGAACATCACCGAGAAGATGGGCTATCCAGCACGCGCAGTTACTTGAAGATATCCAAGCAATTCCTTGATGCATGTATCGAGGAAAGACTTAATTGGAACTTGGGTTTACTATGACCCAAGTGGTTAGAGCGCCGATTTACTGACCGAAAGGTCCGTGGTTCGAACCCGACCTCTGACTTCAACTTCCCCTGTCTAGGCTTGGGCAGTCTGACAGTATCCCAGCCCTCGTGCAACCTTCGAGTGGCATGGCAGTTAGGCCCTGGAAGTGTGCAACAGCTGGACGCGCTCACTATGAACTGCAGCTGACTTGAGCTTGGGGCTAACCGACAGCATCGTTAACGCTTGCTTATGTATTTCATGTACTGTGTTTAATACGACGCTTTTCAAACACAGATTTGAACACTATGCAATCAAATTTAAATGCGTATTCGGTATGTGCCACCATTCAAGTTTCCCTGTTCTTTTTCCTTTCTAGACTGTCATCCGCGTATCCTGCGGCTACTTCATCTGCGGTAAACCTTCTGATTGAAGGAGACTTCGAGCGACACTTACCTCGTCTACAGTTAGCCGTCGAAGGCCGTTTGTTCCCGGACTGGAGTGTGTCGTCACCCGAACCGACAGAGCCTACGGTTACGGAGTCCCAGTCAGCGGTTGGCTCCTCTGTTTTCGAAACAACATGCTCTGAAGCGGACTCAGTAAGCTCATCACTGTCACTACCCAAGCAGCCTAACATAGATCTCTCTGCTCGTCGCTCTGGAAGGCGACAAACCAAGAACAAGCGCCAAAGACCCAAACCAGAACACAAACACAAGGTAGTGCCAGAGACAACACCAACAACTGAACAGACCGACTCCTCTTTTCCTATGCTCCATACGAAACTGATCCCTGCTGAAATTGCGACGGTCAATCTCAAAGTCGCTGATAATGAAGCACCGTTTGCACGTTTTTTGACTGTGGCTAACTTCCCCACATTCGCAACCGTTCAGTTAGCAAAAAAAGCGGACGAAGAGTCTCCCTCGAAAGATCGTCATTCTGCGATTTGGTCGGAACATAACGTTTTGTTCGAAAGATTTGTCAAAGCTCATGCAGATGCCACTGATGAACCAAGTCTGTCTGTGTCGGTTGCTAGTTCCGGACCGTTTTCTGAATGCACCAGTCTTCGTCCACCATCCACCACTCGAACAACAGTTAACAAAGATGGTTTGGGAAGTGTGTCGCATGGTCCTAATGAAGTCGACTATCAATCTGATACCATTGCGCACAGCACTGTTGCGGGAGACCTTTCTGGGTTTTCCGCCCCGGCATTTCCTGCGTTACGTGATAGAATGCGAAATACTGGATGCTCATTTACTTCTGCATCCACTGAGCAGGTCAATTCTACGCAGTCGGATCCTACAAGTACTTCAAGTCGTTCTGTTTACTCGTCAACACCTGCGGTGAACTCCACGTATCCTCCTGTCACACATGCGGGCACAAATCTGAAGTTGCTTTCCACTTTTCCAGCTTGTGCTGATTGGCCTGTTTCACTGACATTTGCCCACTCATCAATAGCCAACACAACGTATCCCAACTCAACGTGCCCGCTTCTTCCTCCATGCACTGCAGTTGCTAGTCTAACTTTTGGCAGCTTTGCTGGAGCAGCAGCGTTTCGGGCTACAAGTTTCAGTGCTCTCGCTGCCAGAGCGTCATCCGGAAGCCGCACAAACTCATCCACGTGGTCAAATATGCCTACGTTTTCGGATCTGGCAAAAGCGGCCTCCAATACACCTTGTGTGTTGTTCGCAGAAAGAACTTCAGTTACTCCTGATGTTACACCGTCGTGGTCGGACCGCATACCCAATAATTCAACATCCCAGGAGTCATCGTCTACAAGGTCGTCTGCACCTGTTGGCCCCGGAACCTCCCGGTCTGAAGTTGCGAGTGACCCATCTCAAGCCCCGGACCAATCGTCGGCCGATTCCAGCGGTGAAAACAATTTTGTGTCTGAAGCAGAACAATCAGGACACAGGATATCTCCCATCACATCGGTTGAAACTCAACTGCATGTGGCGGTTGGTCGTTTAGCCCGAGCCAGACCAAATCGAATGGCTTTGCGACGTCGGCGGAGATCCCGTAAATCCCGCCAAAAAGCTGTTAAGAAAAGCCTGCTCCTGCGGCCAAGCATCACGGGATGTGTCATGTCCGAAACGTTTTCTTCGAGTCCTCTTGACGCTTCTATGGCTTTACCTGTTTGCTTAGTCACCCGGCTTGAAAACTCATCAAAGTGTCCATCGGAACTACTTGCTGTTTCTCCAGTTAGTGGGGACCGTTCTGCAGACGCTCTCGAACACAGAACACCCATTGGTGATAATGTGTCTCTCACAGACGCCAACATTTTGGACCAAGATGTACAAACCTCAACCTCCCAGGAGCCGGAGCCTTTTGTAGAAGGTGACGAATTGTGCCCGTATCAGGAACCCTACGAGGTGATTGATGTTTGTGCGATTGATTATCCTGAAGATAAACCTTGTGAATCCCGACGGATTCCAGCCCAGGACCAAACGACCGGTCCTGTCTCATTGGAAGCGCCAATTCCTCTTGCCCATCACTCATCTGTTCAATCGGTGAATGTAGCACTTCCTGCGGATTCATCCGGTTGTATTCCTGCTTCATCAAACGATGGATCAACAGCTGCTTCCGTTGTTTCGCATACCGCTGATACCGAAGTGGCGCTATCCAGTGCTTTGACAACTGCTGAGGCCAACGCAAGCCGAACGTCACCGCGTGAATCAACCCCAACTCTCAGTTCCTCTGCAACGGATAAAGTTCCGTCCAACTGTCCTCTTGAAGTGAACGGTGATGCAAACGCTGAACCAGTATCATATCCTCCCATCCGTCTCCGTTTGAATTTGAAGTCAACTACGTCGTACCATCCTGGCAGATGCAATAAACTAGATAAGAAGAAACGAACTCCGAAAGCACCCTCTTTTTTAACAACAACCGACAGTCGGATTCCTGTCATATCTGCCTCCACTCCGACGTCACTGAGCATTCGCTTGAAAGTCCCACCAGTTGCACAACAAAACGAACGCTCTTCAACACTGCCAACATCGCGTTTCCAGTGCAAGAAAGTCAGGAAAGGAAGGCATCATCATGGGGACAGCTTCAGACCATCTGATTTACCCAGCGTCTCTACCAAAATAACCATCCGGACGGGAAGAAATGACGGTCACTCGAATTTAGCTGCGCCTTCGTGTACCCCGATGATGCATCCAATCGTCGGTCCGACCGCTACCCCCACTGCTCGACTGAACTCAACTCGATCATCCTCTGTCTCCTACGCATCACGCCTTTGTTCAGTGTTTTCAAGAAAGATTTTTTCTACGGCGAAACAGGAACGCCGAAGCAGTAATGTCCAACTGGTGAGTTGAGTTTCCGCCCTAGTTGAGTCGCTTTTATCTGCTCTCATCTGCTAGAAACCTAGCCGTTTATGTCCATACGATCCGGCTGTGAGATGGTTTTGGATATTCACCCACCATACATCTGCGGTTTACCGCATTTGAGCGGTTCATTTAATTGCTCTTAACTTTCTGCACCATCTTGTGGCTTCTTCCAAGGCCCTTAAGGCAGCGTTTAATGGGTAGGGACATCATGCCACTACGATAAATTACCAAGTTCTCTACAAGTTCGTGCGGGTCTCCGCACGTGGATAGTCTAATGGTTTTCCAATGACCATGCCGTTAGTGATGTAATCCTTAGGATAACAATGTGGGACGAGTTATTAGAAACGAAATACGGAAGATCGGAAATTGTCCAACTGTAGCACCGTTTCAGTGCCTAGATGCCATGTCTCCAGATGGGAGCATGGGAGCTGAGATACTTCCAGGTTGCCCAAGCCTATACGGGAGACCTTGACCACCGGACTATTTCCAGCTTCCTATGTGCGACCCAACCCTAACTGTTTCAAGTCAGTGAACTATGTGGCAACACTAGAGGCTGGCGGAAATCAAAGTCACAGTTGTTCCGGCCCGGAACATCTTGTTTGTCGGTCGTCGAATCGTTGCAGTACACGTGTAGTCGAAAATAGTGTTCGCAGTTCCATCACCCATCTTATTTGTTTTCACTTTCTCTTTTATACAGTCACGCCCTTGGCGTTCTGGGCTTGCCGGTTCACCCAGAAAACGTGGTCATCCCAGGGTACACCCCGCATCATCAGTTAACCCTGGTTCGACCGTGTTTTGTGATACGAAACGCCCACGAATTGAGGTTAAAGATAACACTCCTACCCCGACTGCTACGGTGGTTCGCGGAACGGGTAGACGAGGCCGTCCGCCTTCCCGTGCTCGAATCGGACTTCCTGGTCGCATTTTGACGGGTGCACTGAAGTTGAAATCAAAAGCCGAAGACTCACGAGCTATTCGTCTAGTTATACGTCTTGGAAAGAATTTATCTTCTCAAGCGACCGGGTCCGTTGTCCGTGGAAAGCGCCGTTCGGGACAGACCTCTGTGGATTGCTTGACAACAAAAGCTATATCGCCAGCGTCAAACGTTTCTTTCCACTACCATGACACCGGTCAAGATGCAGACAGCGAAAGCTCTGAAGATTCGAAACTGGGGGAAACTACTGTTTTTGGTGCTGAACCATGTGCTGGTGCGCTACAGCCTTTCGAATTCGCCATAGCAACCGAAGCGGAGACCTACATGGACCCGAACCAAGTTCAAATACATCGTGCATTAAATCGAGCGGTCGCACCAAGAACGTCCAATGGAAGTGGGGTGTCTGGCTGCTTCGCAGCTCCACCCGACGATGATGACGACAGTGGCGAAGCCGGTCTACCAGGTGGCACAATGTTGAGCTCGGAGTATCCCACAGCCCCTCTGAGCGAGCAACAACCTGGAGGTTGTTTTGCCGGATTCAGAACACAAGTGCCCATCAATGTGACTAACCGCCCCCCAATTAATGCCCGAGTCTTATCACATGACGAAAAGGGAGTGGAGCAGACAAGGAAAAGGCGAAGCTCACGTACCCGTCGAGTTTGTAAGAAAAAGTCTAACGTTGAGCCAAGCTCGGAAGTCTCTCTTTTGACCGAAGCAGCGACAATGCCAGTGTGCCCAAATGATTTATACAACACCTTGCTTAATGGACAGCCTCCGGCCGCCTCGCCTCTATCTTCACTCTGCTACAAGTACCGCGCTGATGCGACAGTTGTTTCCCAACCTGGACCTGTGTATGGTACCACGGCAGGACCTCCGGAATTCACCGCTCCTAGAACCGAACGGGTCTCGTCCGTGCATCCTGATAGAAATTGCACTTCGCCTTTGCTCTGTCAGAACAAAGGATTTACAGCCGATGGTGGCTCTAGTTCAGACCCTCTAGACAAATTCGGTTCCATTGCAAGCCCTCACTGGCGCTCTACGCGTGAGAACGCCATCTCCCATGCCAAGTAAGCTATCCACAATGCTCGTTTTTCGGACTCGACTGTTTTTGTTGATCGTCTATAGTATTTTTTGGCATAACATTTATGGTGCACAACCGTGTTTAGTGATTTAACTGGCCTAGAACGATTGGATTGGCTTTGCAAAAGGGAGAGACCGGTTCAGGGGAACGATGAACGTGTGTGCTCAGAAAACACTAAGCTATACATCTTTTGGAAGGAGAGTGATGAAAACAGCAGAGAAATTTTTAAAATATTTCTCTCTGGCTAGATTTTGTGCTGCAGTTTTGTGTTCGGCAGTGAAGCATCAGTGCCAACACTGATGTTGCTGTCATTGATGATGATGATGATGATGAATTTTGTGTTCTTAGTAACATTTGTTGTTTGGTTGACATTGCCAATTCACTTAGCACGGAATCTAGCACAGTCTGCAGTGATATCTGTGAGCAGAAGCCCATATACAGACGCGAAGAGACTGTCGTCTGGCGAGTGTATTCCAGAACAATGCTGACCACTGCTACCGAAGGCAGGAATTTGTCCACTGCAACGTTTTCACTGACGGCACTGTCAAGCTTTTTTATTTGGCATTTAATTTGCTACTCTCTGGTAGATTTGCCGTTCCCAGCCACGTTACGTTCCAGAGTCAGCTAGGTCATACGGTTTTCGCTCACCATAATCGACACTCCACGCTAACTGTTTTTTGGTCATCACGTCTGCATTTTTGCAAGTTACAACTGTGAATGGCAACCTGTCTGTTTTCATCTCTGTTCACATTTAGGTCAGATCTGGGTCATTTTATTCTACCTGTTTCTGAATCGTTCGAACCACCCCTTCCAAACTCGGTGGGGACGGTGAATACCAGCACCGAGGGTCACCGCAGCAACAGCACCAGTAGCGTCAGTTCTGTCACTGCCCTACCGAGCACGGAGAGTCCCGTTGCTGCATCCCTCGAGAAGCAGTTGGACATCAGTATTCCGCCTGACCCACACTTCTACAATCCCATACATGGTGAACATCAACGCGCTCGTGCCGATCACAACCTGCCGAGTGCCCTTGATTGCCCTTTGCTGGACACAGACACAAGTGTTCCCAGTCACCTGCCGTTTAAGGTGAGTTTGCTTTGCTCTTACCTAAATTCGCTGGTCTGTTTGATCCGTACTGTTTTAATTTTCAGTTTTAGGTAGTTTTTTTTTACGTTACTTCCTCAGATGGAACTGCCCTGGTTTAGATGTAGACAATCTACGGCTTCTCACCGAGGCAGCGACTTCATTTCGGATCTCGGCTGCCACTCATCACCTTTCACGTGCAAACTGTTTAAAGAATGTTGAGTTCTTATGGTTCGTGAGATGCTTTGCTAATTTTTTGGATTCATCATTATCGTCGACAACACTATTGTAGGAACACAAACGCCTGATTACACAGCTTTTGGCGGTTCTATGTAATGCATCTTCAACTAGTGTCTCGTTGCCTCTTTCTTAGAAACTGGAGGTGCGACGTAGACAATTCATACAAGCCTAGTAGTCGGCAATTTCTCAGTTATCTTGTAAGGTTCTGCTTAAGGTCTGTACGTGTGAAATAGCACGACCATTGGTCACTTATCGACCATTGGCAGTCACGGGCAACTTATCAACTAAGCATTGAGCAGGTCCATCCTATTACAGATAGCTGCTGTATCACGAATAAGTTTATTATTGTCCCGCTTTGCACTCACTTCATCTGGTTTCATGTGCTCTGTCATACAATGTGGTGAAAACTTTCGATGGGGAGCATCTGTCAGGTGAACCCCAAGCGCTTGTGGCCTTCCGGTAGGGTAAGGGTTTTAGACATCTCTAAAATCACCTATTGCGTTATGTTGGGTCCATTTGACTTGTTAGACGGAAGGCTAGAGGAAATGAAATTAGATTGACTTCACCCGTAATGTACACATTGGGGCGAGATGGCCCAAGTGGTTAGAGCGCGAACTTACTGACCGGAAGGTTCGTGGTTCGAATCCGACCTCCGCCACTCGACTTCCCTGTCTAGGATTGGGCAACCTGGCAGTATCCCAGTCCTTGTGCTTCCTTCGGGTGGCATGGCAGCCAGGCACCGGAAGGGTGCTACAGCTGAACGCTTTAGTTTACACATCGCCAGGTGAGAAATCCAGGTAAGTGAATCACTGTCGCTTCTATTGGCTTACTGTGTCAGGGGACACTTCATTAGTTTCACAGCATGATAACCGATTGTAGACGTTATAGGAGGATTTGGCGGACATGCAACCGACATATCCTGTTTCACATCCTAACCTTGGATTCTTCCTGTCGCAGAAATATGGCGTGAATGGTGGTGGAAACTCCTGCATAAATTGGTTATACATATGTGAAAGCGCATCAAGAAAAGCCGGTCGTCCTGATTTTCACGGTACATCTATGCGTTAGCAAACTTTACTCATTCCTCATTGGGTTCACAGGTCAAAGTGGAATACACAGGGATATTAGGTGAGAAATCCGAAGATAACAACAGATTGTCTTCTTGTAGGGTTTCCTTGACTTCTTGTAACCGTTTTCCTTATCCGGTTATGCAGAGTTTCCCCTATTCTTGTGGAGATTATGGCGGTGAATCCATCGGGAACTTTGAACTGTTAACTTAGTTATCCCTGGGAAAGGGACATTTTCTCTAGGTTAGTAATTGCTGTGCGATCTTTTAGTTCCGGTGTGGCCAGTGTCCCTTCATTTTTTTAACGTTGCACTAGCTTTCATCCGTTTGTTGGTTACGATTCCTTCGATATGATTCCAAACTTAATGACCTGCGTGTCTCCTATTCTAGTCTCCTGTGTGCGAATCGGTTCACGGTGACCGTCCAACACAGCAGCATTCTTACTCAGACCGCGGTCTGGATACGCGCCATCACCACCGGTCTACCCGCGATTTGTCCGTTGGTGATGTAAGCTCTGTGGATACTGGAACTACACAGCAATTACCTTCTCCTCCTCCAAGTTCCATGCAGCAACAGGCGCTCGCACTAACTGCTGCAGCCTACGCAACACTGGATCCAATGATGGCTGTACATCAACAAGCTAAAGCTTACTATGATCAGTGGGCATCTTCACTTTTTGGAAATTGGGCTTCCAGTGGTGGTGCTAGTGGCTGTGGCTCCAGTGGCCAGCTCTCAGTGAATTCTGAAGCGCACTGCAGCTCACAACGGCAGCAACAACAGCAGCAGCAAACTGACTGGATCAATGCGGCACTGCTATCCAAACAACAACAACTCGTCAGTTCTCAGTACGAACACGGTGACCCTACAGAAAATGACAACCTACGACAATGGCCATGGCCAAGTAACCAACGTCGAGCCCATGCATCAGATGATCGTCCCAACCCGGATTCGACTGCATTCGATCGTTTCCATCAATTTTACCGAGGCACTAATCATTCAGATCGGTCATATTTGGATTTCGCCTTCTCAAATCTCCCAACCAACACGCCGGATTTATCACGTTCATCTCAACAACAGCTGTTTAATTCAAGCAATTTCGCCGACCCATCTCAAGCACGTTGCAAAAGTCGGTACAACGATGTGCCAGGAGATTACGCGCGGATTAGTACGGGACCATTTTCGGAATCCCGCGTTAACGGATGGTGATAGGCCATAATTCGCCCGACTTGTCTGGTTAGTGACTGCTACGCACGACTGTAGTAATCTTTTTTGTCTGGTTTGCGGGCATGGTATCCCTCTTCCGCTTCTTCCGGGTTTCCCGCAGATTTGGTGTTTATCGTAAGTCGGTCGGGAATGCTGGGCGTTTGTTTGGTTGAATGACCGTAATACTGTTTAGGGAAGCCATTGTTCTACATCTGTGTGCCCGCGACATCCTCATACCACAAACACACACTTTTGTGACTCTTCTTGGAGCGCCGTCATACTTTGAAATACTTCGTAGCTTAGAGGAAATGGCGAAAAAAACCCAGAGTCAAGTAGATGGAAACTATCTGCAGACATCTTCGAATCGCAAATCGGTCGGTCGACGCATTTTCCGCTGCATATTTTGCTTTCAATTGTTAAATATGAGGTCCTATCCCATAACTTGTCCTCTCAAAAAATCAGCGAAAGCCACGAGATTCATCGATTTTAGGAGATCATATCTCATTTGGCGGGGTTTTAAATAACTCTTGTTGTTAATGACAGATAGTCCACCTCTATTTGATCTGTTGACAAATTTGCTGGCATTTATTCGTATTCGGACACAACTTAGATCGATCCACCACTGGATGTGGCAAGACCTTTCACCACCGTTAACTAGGTGGAATTATCCGTTTTGCTCGAAATGATACAATGATGGCACCTGATTGGTAACGCGGTGTGATTCTTTTATTGGGACATGTGCGAGAAATTTGCGCTGTACGACGGCAAATGCGTTCATTGTTAATAGAATCCGTTATACTAGGCAGTGGTGCGGCCTAGCTGTAACGCGATTGGATCTTTTACAATTGTGTTAGGTGTTCAATACAGAAGTATCCATATGGTAAAGGTCTAAGGATAACCTTATTCTTCTTAGTAGTTCCCGTGGATGCATACCATTCGGTTCTTCAACTAAACTGTTCGAAATGGTCGAGTGTGAGGATGAGGTTCGTTACCTGCATTTAGAGGGTCTAGTAAAGAGTATGGCGATACAATGACACTGCTCATTAGTGTCTGCTCAAACCGAACTGTTCAATCCGCTGGGCATGATAGTAGACAGATCGTAGACACTTCAACCAGGCACGCAGCAACACGTGGCGCCAAGCGGAGCGGCACTTATGGCAAGGGGAATACGAGTGTGTCCATGCTTTTTCTGGAGCTGAGGGACGGAGACTAGAACACTCGTCAACCTAACACAAAGTGGTGCATCTCAACTTTACTTATTCGTAAGTGTAAATGTGTCTGGGGCTCAAGATAGCTCAGTGAGTAAGGTGCAAACATACTGCCCGGAATGTCCGTGGTGTGAGCCCAACCCTGGCATCTCGACTGCTCCCACCTAAGCTTGGACAGCCTGACAGTATCTCAGCCCCTGTACTTCCTTTGGGTGACATTGCAGTTATGTGCCGGGAGGGTGTTGCAGCTGAACGGAATTATTATTACTGTTATTAATAATTATTAAATGATAAGTTTATTCACAAAAGAACAGATCCGTTCGTTTGTGCATTGCGCGGCGAGATGGCCCAAGTGGTTAGAGCGCGAATTTACTGACCGGAAGGTCGGTGGTTCGAATCCGACCCCCGCCACTCAACTTCCCCTGTCTAGGGTTGGGCAACCCTGAACGCATTGCGCGGCTACTGGAGATGATAACGCAAGAGCCTCACTAGCACTTTACGGTTTGCGGTTCGAATGCAGACCTGACTTTTCAAGTTTGATGGATATTTCCATTTCATTCGGAAACAGACTTTGTTCCATTAGTATTTGCTGTTATTTCATTCATACTACTCTATGTATCAGTTGAAACCTTTCCGAAAATAGCTTTTCACAACACTACTTGGTCTTTTGCTGCTCACGTCTCAGGTCTACAAATACCACTTCTGAGCGATCTTTCCTTAAATTTGTGACCACAATTTTTCTTTGTTTCATTACGTAACTTGAAACCAAATTTCTGTATCTTCTCCCTTCTCAATAGGCACGTTTTCTCTGCACCTCCCCGTAAGCAGTACTGAACGCACTCCCTCGACCAGGACACACTCAACCGCACTTGATTATTTATCGAGTTCAGCTCCCGGATTCTACTATTTGCATGTGATAGATGCTCGTTTTTCAACTGGCCCAAGCCTCTCCTCCAGCCTAACGTCGTACCCCACGTCCCTTCATAACTGACAGAAGTGGCAGCACCAGAGTGAAGTTTGACCGTAGAACTCATCACTATCCTCATTCTCCGCCCCACCTATTTTTACAGACTTCAATCATGATCATGTGATTGAGCTTAATTTTATTCACAGGCCCAGCCCTGGTCCGGGACCTGTACCCCTTGAACAACTAAAGAGCCATTTTTGCATTCAATCTCTTTCCAAGACGTGCCCATTGTGAAATTGCAGACTATGCCATCCCCTCAGCAAGATCTCAACGAGAACCTCACTGGTTAGTACTGTGCCCCATGTCGACAGATTCTCGTCTTTACTCAACCGGCAGTGGTCACTTTACCCACCACCAGCCTCTCCCTCCTAATATGTGTACAGATATCTTTTTACGCGAGAGACTAAACGAAAACCCGTTCTTTCGGTTCCACCTTGTGATATTTCCCCTTCTTTCGGTCCACGAGAGTTCCTCCCGAGTCAGCTGGTTGTCGAACACCAGTTTCTTACAAAACACCAGAGTGATAGGCGGTCTTCTGCCTATCCCAATGTACACAACTGGCACTTCCCTGTGTTGTACCACTTCCAGCTGACCAGCCCACCTTTTTTGCACTGCTTCAAATCATGCACTCTCTCCTGGATGATGTGAACAATGAAGTCCTTTGCTTTGTCAGAGTCGTTCTCTTTATGCCTCCATTCTTGTTGATTTTGTACAGTTCCAGTATTTCTTCTCAATGCGTGTGTGCATGCCAAAATGCGCGCGACCGAACTTCGACTGATCTTGTTCACCTATCCTATCTCTCAGTCTCTTATGCTCTATCATAATAAAACTGATACAGTTCAGTGGTTCATCTATTCAAGGATTAAGCAGCGGTATCAAGGATAGTTGGTTGCTTAGTCGCCGTGACAGTTTTAGTCCTGTCCCGCGGTCAGTGACGGTCTTACCTTCAATATGTAGCTCTCCTACCCCCTTCTGTATCAGATAAAGTAATTTGACGTCAGCGAACTGATTAGATCGTTCTCGCCAACACGTGGCTGTCATTTTCTTGACTCGGCTAACGAAACCGTCGCACCTGAAACACCATGCTTCGATGCTTGTAACTCGGTAATTGAGTTGAACTCGATCGGTGGTGGGTGCCTTACAGAGATTGACCCGATGTTGTTTCTGGTGTTGTAGGCAGTAGACAACTTTCAGACCCAGACGTTCCACATCAGGGCTTACTGAGACAATCCGGCTTCTCAGTTAATCTCCCGGACAATACTGTCAATCTTGACACTGTTGTGGGACATACATTGCTTTGATCATATCATGTGAACACCATTGAGCATACCCGAACCACCATAGTCGACCTCGTTCGACTAAGTGCTCGAGCTGAATAATGAGAAATTATGAGCGACTGACCCGTTCGTTCGTTGAATGATATTATGTACGAATCGAAAGCCCATTTCACTAACACCGGTGGTCGAGACCTTCACTTCACGAGTGCCCGGAAAGGACACTAGCCAGGTTTCGTGGACCTAGAATAGGATAAGGCGAATGTAAGGTACGAAGATGGGAAACTTCGTCTTCGTATCAATTTTATTTCTGCGCCTCAGTGGCACATATGTTCAACTTGTACTATCCAAGCAAGTCGATTAGTCCGCCTAGCTGTTCGGAAGTTTGATCGATACGACATTTTAACTTGGGCTTGAAGCGGAAACTTAGTTCAGTTCGGCTTGTTACATTAGAACGGGAATTTGCGGAAGATAAAATGTCGTGCGAGTCATATTATGTAGTGTAAACCGCTCTGTCCCTGTGTGGTGTGACAAGTGAACTCAGATGTGGTGGGTTTTACAGTCTCCGCATGGTGGGGGCTCTCTTAGAGACACATCACTGATGTGGTGCGCTGGCGGGTGCAACTCGGCTACGCAGCCGTTGCTTTCAGTATCTCGCATGTATAGTGGGCGAGCTAGTGGCAACTGGAACCACTGAGACCGGTTTTATAATCGATGCAGTAATGCGATCAAAATGAATGGAAAACTGACGTACCTGGTGCGCTTCACTGGATGGAACTCTGGAGGAGCAGCCAAATCGGAGATTTATTGATTCATCTGTGCCATACGCACCTCCCAATGGTGGGACGTTGACTGAAAACCGTTTTTTCTGGTTGCAGTTGGAATACGCTAACCTCCGCTTGCCCAAGAATGGCCTGTGTCTGGATCCTAAAAATCACTTTAGGCAGGTCATAGCTTATCAGCCGCTGTCAGATGCTTTGGACTTTCAGAAGCAAACATACGCACGGTCTGGTTTGCTTGAAGTTGCTTTCGTCGTTTGTGCCCAATTACTGAATAGGTAGTTACACTGTCGTAGGATGGGCTGTTAGTGATCCTGTCCAATACACCCATCTCGGTCAGAAAGGTTAGGTAGTCTGTGGATCTCTTGCTGGGTACCGTTCTGCTTTTGACAAAATTCTCGTCAGGTCAAGCGAAGAAGTTGCCAGTTTAACCGAGTTTTAAGGCAGTTGGATAATTAGTCGCAGATCTCCCAACTGAAAACTCTAAAAAGCCCACTGCCAGTTTTGCCCTTCTTGGGGTCCGTCAGGTAGGCGCAGTCCATGAGTTTCTGTCCACCTTATATTCTACTTGAACCCCAGATTGGAAAGCACATGGGAAATACGAGTGTATTTTGCAAAGTGATCTGTTTTTAACGAGCTAATCAAACGAATCCCAGATGGATGTGCAAACGAGTGTACTTTGCTCATTTGATACCATTTGGGTTCAAGTAGAATATAAGGTTGGCGAAAACTCGAGGACTACACGTATCTGCTGAGTTTAGAGAGAGATGAAACCGGTCGTCGGTTGCCGGAGTTTGGAGCAGTCTTATGAGTAGTGTATTACGTCCATGCATGTATCGCGATGTCTTGAATACCATAGCAACTAAAACACCAAGCTGCCTGGTGTGGCAAATTCAGTTGCTTGAAAATATCATAAGTGAGGGATTCAGCTGGTTTCCAGATGGTGGTCTCCCGTCAAAACTAAGTTGAAATGCGAATGAGTGTATTTTCCGAAATCTCTCAAATTTGAGTCCAAGTAGAACAAGGTTGACGGAAACTCGGGGACTGCGCCTACCTGGTGAGTTCCAAGAAAGGCGAAACCAGTCGTGGGCTATCGAAGGATTACCCGTTCTCACTTATTAGGGTGGTCATACTTGTGTTTATTGCAGTGGTATCCAGTTCTGAATCTAAGTGGAACGCCGTTTTGTGAACGATACACAATGTGGCTACATAATGACAGTGCCCCAAGTGCTCGTTGATTTCAAGATAAAGTGTTCACCGACAGAGAGATAGGATGTAATTGGTCCATTAGATCGTCAGGACGACCCGCCGAACGATCGTTTATGAATTTTCATCTTTGAGACTTTCTTATGGAGAGACTATTTGAAAAAAGTATCCAGGAAGTGAAGCAATTTGTCACGGAAAAGCCCCGCTGCATTCAGAAGGAAATTCTCGCGAAAGTACGGTTAAAGTGTGAGGGGAATTGTGGAAAACGTCAACCAGATTTTCCGACGTAAATAGGTACAATCAAATAACCTATCGATGGCGAATCAATTGATTTATTGGGTTAACTCACGAACCAAGCCGTGATCAGGGAAGGGGTCCAAGCCGAAATTGACTTGTTCCCTTCTTACCATTTAACCTGCGAACGTTTATTTCGTGCACTGCTGAAAGGTTTTCCCGGAAGTTCCTTGTTATCTTGGAACGCTAAGCTACGCAAATAAAGAGCACGAAAAGTACGATATGACTTCATCAAAAGGTTAAGAGCCATGCGCCTCGTTAGTGTCAGTACCTGGTGCTCGTCTATGTCGGACAAAAAACAGAAGACAGCGTACCACTCTCTACCACCATCTTCAATATAGATACTCTTGTCCAGTATCCCATGTTGGTCCCATAACAAGATGTTTTTCAGACTGGAAAAAAGCCAACTCGGGTGCAGTTGTATTATGACTCCCCCAAACTGCCATGGAAGGAAGTACTCTCCAAACGACGTACCGGGTATCTGTGAAACCGTCACGGACACCACTGATGCAGACAGTCATCATAATGAATTTAACCTGACCTTTGATAATTTCCCCATTCATTTGCTTTTGATCTATCTGTTTTGCTCACCTTCACTCACCACTCACCTTGCCGTAAAGGCAGCTTGTCCGACATTGGCATATTAACATTTATCTATGCGTGAATGTGCACAACTGACCTACTTACCCATGCGTGCTCGTACTCTATTTGCTGAGTCTGTCCTGACATGTTACGTCATGATTTCCGTGCAACCGCATCTTTAATCAGAATCACGAGGCTGTCTACGGAAGGGTCGACCGCAACGCACAGTACCGAGCCAACATTCCGCTCGCAGTTGTTTGGTGTGCGAACCTTGACACGACACTGTGCCGGTCGGTGACAGACTTGTGCACTTGTTGACGCCACGAACGTAAATAAGTGTATAATTCTGCTTACCTTTGTGCCGTAGACTTTCGAACCCAGTTCTTTCTTTTCATATTCGGGATTGTCGAATCTACGTGTCACTCAAAGTTCCGCATAGGAAAACTCAACATACCAAATGTCAGGCGGAATCCCCCACGAAAACCGTTTTACCGCTTGCGATTGGGCGCTGCTACGGCCAAAAAGCATAACTTAGTCCCAATTAGATAGGAGATCAAGCCGCTTCCAGTCCAGCGTCAGGGCGAATTCTGATTGGATGAAAGTGTGGACTCAACAGCCAATCATTATTCAGGATCAACCGAAAGCCGGTTGCTAATGCTGCGTCCAGATGGCGTCGGAATTTCCAGAATGTCCTTGCGTCATACACCTTGGATACCGTGCGCTGTACATGTTTTGCCTTTTTGTGTACCTATGGTGTTTTTTTGCCGGAATACTTGGTTGGGAGATTCAAACCAACAACTGAGATGAGGCATTGTCGTTATTACCTCCATCACAGAGGTTTTTGAAATACGGGAGCGTAACCCAGGCTTCCTTTTGCATGATTGACTTCCACGACCTCTGAAATTAGTTTGGTCTACGCGCTATTCTGATTCCTCTGACATAGTCAGTTAGTCTCACTGTCCTATTGCTCCGTGTAACCATTTCTACAACTTTTGTGCAATTTTTCACTAGAATTGTATAGTCTGCGATGTATTTGTCAAGGTGATCAGTCACTAAAAACTAAAGGACTCGCTCCAATCGACACCTGATAGAGTGATGAAGCTGAAGTAACGAGCTGTGCGGTCAAAGGATGCAAACACACATGTGAACCCAACCATCCATTTCCTCATGTACAACAAAGAGCACCCAGTACCATAAACATTTTAATTCACCTGCTGGATCAAAACCTTTTGTCGAATACTATCTAGCCTTCGCCGGCTCGGTCCTATCCATACCAGTTCAGGACTATGGTTTCTATGGCACTGTCGATCCTAGTTGCCCTTCAATGGTACCTCTTACAATTTCAAGCTTAGTATTGGTTTCATCAATCCTTAGGGCAGAAAAATCTCAGTGGCAAAATTGCGTGACTCCACAACGAACGTGTTGTCTTGTTGTCGTGTTGGCTGACGGGAATAGCTTTACGCACCCGATAACACCGCTTGATTTGACCGTAATGCCGTGGCAAGGGGAGCTGAAAATCATGGTAGATGGTTTGTTTCAAAAAAAAACGACAAACTGTACTGGTGAAAGGAAGAAGGCCTTCGCTGCGGAGTTGTTTATTAGAAAATGCCAACTAACCAGTTACAGACAGGGGAGTAAAACTCTCACATGCATCTAATTTACAAAAACTGAACATCCATCTTGAACGCGTCTTCCTGAACTTTCCTGGATATTCATTGACTGTTGCTCAAATCCAAGCAAATGCTACAAAGCGATTCCACAAATTCCTCAGTATATCTCCCTTTTCAAGAGACACAAAAGGAATTTACAGGAAGAAAACATACTACTCGCATGCCTTTCCCATCAATAGTATCACCGTTACACTGGTAGTCGAGCAATGAGTGAGAGGGCTAGTGAAATGCGCCTATATATCCTTGCACCATAGAACCTCTGACAGATGTTAGGTCAGTGCTGTTGCATTTGCTCTGCAAATAGGAAAGTTTTTGCCGTTATGTTGGAGTAGCCTAGAATCGGGTTCAGAGTGAAGATCACGCACACCGGTGCACTGTGCTCTTGCATAATGTGTGAAAGTAGTTAATCGATCTGGGCACACTGGCATCTTCTAGATATGTTACTAGTTGATCAGGTGACTGTTGACCTGTTCGTAGGGCATGGCAGTTAGTTTGCTAGCTGGATATTTTTGGACAAACCGTGAGATTGGATCATGGCAGAACAATTTTTAAATACAATCCTTCTT